AAGGAAGGTATCCCAAGGCCTTGACGCCATCACTGAACAATATCTTTTCAAACTAAGGAAGGAGAAAGGGATAAATGTTCCAAGAGGGTGTTACCATGCAGTGATGACCACAGAAGAAATGGTAGATTTTGATTACTGGAGGCAGGTAAGGATGGGTAGGTTGAGACAAAGATTTTTCACTACAAGTGGGATAGAGCCTTGGAGTTTTGGACCAAGGAGACCACAGAAGAGTTGATAGATGTGGCAAGTATCTTAGAGCAAGTTGATAGTGATGGATGGGTCCTATTGAGCATTACAGAACAGCATCATTATGGAATGTGGAGAGACTGGAAATGGAGGCAACTTGAGGAGAAAGACTTTTTGTAATTTTAAATAAAATTAGTAAAGGAAAGGTATTTGGCACAGTGTAATACTAATAACTAAACACCTAACAGGTCATGTGTACACTCTAACAGTTTCAACTAGGTTTTGAAGCATGCTTAATTCAAGTTATATCCAAAATTCCCCAGCTCCAAATTGTGAATAGTACCTAGACATGGCCAGAGAACATCAATAGAGAATGTGACCTCTTAAGCAGAGATGATTTTATCAACAAAGGATATCATAGCAGGAAAAAGGTAACCAAAATTTATATGAAACATTAAAAAAGGAACAACTAAAGTGATTTTACTTAACCCATGAAACAGTATGTAAACAAACCTGTATGACACCAGCACGCATGTTTGATTGTTGGATCACCCCATGTTGTGTATGGAAAACATGACCTAAACCAAAAATTTTGTAATGCACAGTAGTTTATGACCAATTTCACCAGTTGGATAAAATCACTCTTCATATTCATCTACAATATCTTTTTGAGAAATAAACTGTGACAAAGCCTTGACTTAGTATTAGCATGAATATTAGTTATTTCTCAATTGTCTTCTTTCGTGATGCATGTTAATAGTGACATGAAAGTAATGCTTGTTAATATTGTCATCTGTTAAAAATTTGATTAAATCTGAATTACTTAACTTTGGTTTTCTTTTTTTTTTCTCATATAAGCATCCTGCATTTTGGGCAGATGTCTCTCTGGAATGAGATCCTTTTGGAATGGCTTCTTTTGCACTCAACCCTTCAAATATTCTGTTACAATGTTTTATCTGACGGTGCATAGAACCCGTAGTCCTCTATGTATATGTACACTTTGCTTGTCAAGCAAAGATAAATCAATAGTTTTCCGTCAATATATGCACATGCATCTGTGTATAATAGCGACTTCTGGGAAAATTTCCAATTGTCTGAAAACTTTTTTTAACGCTAAATTGGCTTAAATTCCAAGGGTGTGAGTAATATACAGACCGGTCTCAACAATTAGAACATCACAGTGGTGAAACAGCACCAAAACTTGCAGACTGATAAATATTTTATAGGGAAGGCCACATTCTCTTTTCCAGCGAAAAAATCTCGCGCGATAAATGGGAAACTTGTTAGGTCGCACGTGATCGGCCATCACGCACGTTGTTTCCGTGGATGGCAATGGCCGCCACAGGTGAGGAAGTATGTTTTGAGATTTTTTGGCTTTTCTTATGTACGTTGAAAACCTCGAAATGAACAAATCGCTAAAATGGGTTCTTTTCATCAAAGTAAGCGGTCAGATAACAAGCGATACACAGTGGAAGTAAGGTATTTTTTTTGAGAATTTGACGTATTTTTTTATTCCTCAGAGCGGTCGTAAATATGCCCATACAAACTGTTATAATTCCGCCTTGACTGTTATTGCTCAAGATGATCATCTCGCAGCTGGAGCTTGGGCCGCCTGTGATTTGATAAGTGAATTCGAGAAAAACGGGGTCAATTCTGAGCATTCATGCTGCAAGTGAATAATACCTGAAGTTCCTATTTGCTATTTTTACTCCGATTTTCCATTTTTTTTCAGTGAATTTGATAAAAAACGGGATAAAATCTGAAAAGTTATCCTCCAAATGGAATAGATCCCAAGTTGCCATATCCAATCTTCAACCCGATTTTCCATTTTTTTCCAATGAATTCTAGAAAAACGGAATAAATTCTGTGAAATTCAACCTTTAGGTGGATTCTATCCTAGTGACTTGCTATAGCCACCTTTACCCCCATTTTCGGTTTAATCATTGTGTGAATTTGTCATAAACAGGGTAAAATAGGACAAATCCACCCAAAAGTGCAATAAATCCTACAATAATTTAGAAACAGTACTAAAAAAAAGACACAGCTAAAATCTGCGGAACCGCTATAAAATCACAATCTACCACTTTTTTTAACGGAGGACTCAGTGCGATACGGCAAAAACCCACTGTATTCAAAATAAACAACTGAAGGCCAAACTTCTGTGACTGAAGGAAGACTTCGTGACGCAGACAAATAATCACAACTTGGACTTCTCAGTCGATCTCACCTCCGGCAGATCAGGTGAAGTGTCAAAAATATATAATTTTATGTCGACGAACCATTATCTATGATCTTCAACTATTAAAGAAAATAAAGCAATTGTCATATGACGCCACACTGTGCTTTTGCTTAGCTTGTGGCTAAAATGTTGTCATTGAAGTCGCAAGTCGAGCAATCAAGACTGTAAATAAAGCAAGGCTGCAAATAAAACGTGAACAATAACGCATCCTTTGGTCGAAAGTCGCTTTGTTATTCACGCACAGCAAATTGTTCTTCCACGTTTAGGTTATAACAACGATGCGATCACTCTGCGTTAACGAAGGAACGATAGAACTTCAAGGAAAGCAATATGAGAGACCAATGATTCGGTTCGCAGTGATCATGTGAACAGCATGTTTTCCTCAGATCAGTTACTGGAAAATACTGGTCAAATTTTCCACTTATCCCGACCCCCTGGAATGAGTACTTTTGCTTGAAGACATAACAACAACGGAGTCTCTTAACCAGTCCCAAGCCGCGTGTCGCTCGATAGATCGCAGGATATGATTGGCCACTGTACCACATTACGTCAGAAAACATATCTGCAATAAGAGGACATAAGTGCAACGGTACATAAGGAATGCATCAGACTGGGAAGGGACGGGAGGGATGGGGAAAAGAAGTGGACATGACCTGATTCGACTAAACCACCTTGTCTATCAGAGAGGTTTTTTTGTCTGATTTCTCTTAATTTTTGCTCATTTTGGTATTCTCGAACAAAACTCTTTTTTTGTGGCCTGCTATCTTCACATGAGATGAATCGATCTCTAAATCAACTGCCAAAATAACAAGCAATGATTATCAATCGATGTAAACGCAATCGAAAGGAATGAAACACAACAAACTAAATTACAACAACCGAATACTTCCTGTATCAAGAGTTTTAGGGAAAAAATTATTGCATGCCTCATTTGTGCAGTGTAGTCTGGCTAGCTTGAGGTCTTGCTAACTTAATGAGCACTTAATCAACAGCGAATCTACGTGACAAAAATACAACCTCTCTTTCCCACAATCCTTCAGGCCAAAATGTGGTTTTTCCTCGCTTTAGATACTTAGATTACGTAACGGTGATCGATTGGGCCCTTATCAACTGAGCAACTTTATCACCTAATTTTGGAACTTTTTTATAATGACCCATAGATACGGTGGCCCATAAAGGACAATTTACTTTTTAAATTCAATTTTATCGCGCGATAAAATCAAAATACCGCGCGATAAATCAAATTATCGCGCGCTAAATAATAAATTATCCCCGCGATTTAAAAGAAATATTATCACGCAATTAAAAAGAAATTATACATAGATTTAGTCAAACCTAAAAGCGGAGCTCACATTTTTTTCCCCACACGTCTCAAGGGCACAACACCTTGCAAAATCAAGGTTTATTGTACTGATTTACAGAGCTATGTGTCGTAGAAGTATTGCAAAGTACTCCTTAATCTTTTAACGAAAATAAAACGAACTATTGACCTCGAAACATACTTCCTCAACTGTGGCGGCCATTGTCATTCACGGAAACAACGTGCGTGATAGCCGATCACATGCGACCAAACAAGTTTCCCATTTATCGCGCGATAAAAAAATATTTATCGCGCGATAATTTATCATTTATCGCGCGATATTTTGATTTCATCGCGCAATGAAATTGAATTTAAAAAGTGGATGGCGTGTAATAATCAGCATAATTTTTTTAAGGAAATGCTATCAGATTTACGACTTGCTTGTCTCTTAGACTGATTATTTTCAAGTTCAGTCGATGGTTCACTCTAATTTGAATTTTGTGATGCCTTAGGGTCGTTTTCCGTCCATAGGACTGCGCACAGCAGAAGTAAAATTTACGTCGGTACTACTCCCCACTCTCATAGGCAACAAAATACCAGTAGTTAGCTGTGTTTAATCAGAGCAAGAGTGCAACCCAAGATAAAGAATATACAATGCTTTATTAAGACTAAAACTACAATAGGACTTGTTTGTGTTTGTTTCTCCGAAAAGAAAAAGTAGCATAATTTTACTGAAAATCAGCGTAATTTTGAGCATAATTTGGAAAAAAGGGCGAGCGATGCTACTAGCATAATATGCTACTTTTATTAGCACGATCCACAAAGGCTTCTAATCGAAATCGATGATTTTTGGGGACCAGTACTTTTCCATCGCCGGGGGTTGGGTGGGGAATAAGTGGATTTTAGGGGATCCCATGGTTTTAAGGGGAACAGAGGAAGGAATCAGTCGTCATCAACAGAGTGTTAGGGGTCTACAGAAAATTGATTGCCAATTAACTGCCAATGAGGGAGGGATCGTAAGGATATTACAGAACCCTTAGGGAGGGTCTGTAAATCTTATCGTGACACATCCAAAATCCCCCACTCCCCAGGGGATAAATAATGATAAACAATGACCAGTTCCTTAGCTTCTGCCTCTGTTTGGTTAACGTATTTTTTCCCTCATAAAATGCAGAAAATGCTAAGCATGGAAACAAACTGTTATTTAAACAGCGCACTGCTTCAAATCCTGAGATAGTGGAGATCTTGAAGTGATTATTGTTTGGGTTTCACAGACTATTTCCTGCAGAATAGTTGTGACACGCTTGCTCTTACTCCTGGGACCCGCATGGCGTATAGTATTGGATTAATCAGCGAACCAGCAAGGTAAATTACGAACAATGTCATATACATATGGAAGTGTAGCTGCTGAGAAATGTCGAAATCAATTCGAACATCCATGAAATGGTTGTAGATAATCATTGGAAGGCAGCTTAATAAAGATGCTACAGTTATAAGGAACAAAGTTTTGGTCAGTTTTCTTTCCCGCAAGCCGACTGCACCAACTTGTTGAGGATGACGACCGAAGCGGAGTTTAAAAAATATACTAACATAAGAAACACAAAGAACACACAGAGGAAGGAAGCGACTCGTACTCCAATCAAAGCGAAAGTGATCTTCAATTGTAAACACTTTACTGACCAGTATGCCACTGTATACTATCCAAATGATAGCGATTATCAAAGCATAAATCCATTTCTTGAGGAAACGATGCTTGAATGGACGAAATGTGGCGTGTGCTCGCTCTAGTGAAATGAAAAAGAGGTTGAGACAGGCGACGATGGTGAATTCAGACGATGCCTTGGAGAACCAACCAGGGAACTGGTACTCCTCGCTCTGATGACAGTATAGACTCATATCTTCCACGATCCATCCAGGGCCTGCCACTGCTCCAACTATAAGATCGACTACTAACAGATGGATGATCAAGTATGTGCTTCGGCGTAGTAGCTGGCGCTTCCTCACAAACACAACAATGATGATGATGTTAAGAATAATTATGGCCAGAAATTCAGCGATGAACACAGCTAACCATGGAATGCATTGTGATTCTACTGGTGCTATCATGGACAGCTTACTCACATTCTGTTGATTACTGGCACTGGTGTTCAGAACCATTGAGTTTCCTTTGATTTTTATTTGTATATAGTTCAACGACCTAAAGATAAAGAGAAAAAAAAGTCGTGGAAAAGAAAAAGCAAATTGATTTACTTTTTTCTTTTATTTTACGTACTCAATTGGTACTAAATTTCGCGTTTTTCGCGTTTTTCATGAAATAAATAGCCGAATTAAAGAGGCGCGAATAAAAATCCTTGCGAAATTTAAACACACATTTATAATCCCTCTGATTGGCAAAATCTAATTCCGTCAATATGAAAAATTTGAATCACGGAAAAGATGATCAACAGGTCAAAACAACAACATATACAGTCAATTACACAAATTATTTTAAAACTGGTCTCACTGGTAAGTTCTGAATTTTGTATCTTTTGTGAAAGGACGTTGGTTGATTGTCAAACCTTTCGCATCTTTGTCAGCGTTGAAGCTAACCTTCAATTATCTTTCCTATCAACTGAGTTGATAATGTAAACCAACCACTGTAACGAGTTTTCAAAGCTAACTTTTTAAGCATTAGCCTTTCGTCAGAGAGAATGATTAAGGGCTAACGCTCGGGACATCAGCTTAAGAAACTCTTTACAATGGCTAATTTAAATTATAATTTGAGGTAATAAAACCAAATTATCGTGTAATACCCCCACTGACGCAGCACCACGATTTCCTTATAAATTTACCACCTTGATGAAAAGTTTCCTACGTTTGTTAACTAATGGTCATTATAACCCACCCATTAATTTTCGCGCAATCCTATTGGCTCATAATTTCACATTTGTCCTCGAATCTACGCCTCCCGGCCAAATATTCATTTCTCGGGCAATATCTCAACCGCAGACACTATAAGCCGACATGCCTGTCGCCTGAAGGGGTCTATTTACTAATAGCTGTTACCCTTTAAAGATTTTCGATCATATCAAGAGCAAACTTTGTTTTTGTAAATGAACTGTAAAAACATTACGTGATGACAGGAATCACAGGCCATCTTTTGTGAATCAAGCTATTTTTAAACAAGTTTTACGATTAAAAGAAATAAAAAACTGTCCTTCTTTCAGTCATGAAAATACAGTCAAAAATACGTGCCCTGTTTTCTGAGATTAAACAAGATTGTGACACTTGCAAATGACATAGCCATACGAACATACATTAATTGCGGTAAACTAGTCAACTAGATTAAGTACGAGTAACTTTCCCATATTCATAGAAATTAACTAGAGGTTATGTATCGGTGGACAAGAAAAAGAATCATTTTCATTTAACTAAGTAAGAGAGCACGCACTTGTTAAAGGACTTAGGATATTAATTCAAAATATGCTGTGCGAACTTACCTGAACAGAAGGATCCTATGCTGTAATGTTTTCAAGCGTTCGGCAACAAAACTTAGTTATCAAAAGTTTGAAGGCAGAGCTAATGATATGTTTACGTTAATGAGCATGTGTAAAATCCAAATAGGTGCCGACTAAATACTCGCTACGTTGTTTTTTTGGCGCCAGACGAGGTCAAATTATACAGGTTCTTTACTAGGAACGAGAAAAATGCATGGTTAGTTTAAGATAAAAGCTTGCTCTATAAATGATTTATTATCAAACTGAACATTACTTAAAGTGAATATTTTGCCTCGTCATAAGGAGCACACGTGGGCGTGCGCAGGCACGACAGGCCCACGTGCCCAACTTAGTCATCCAGTCAGAACTCAGAATTCGCCCAATCCAGCGCTTGTTCACGGAGCCGGTCATACATGTGTGTTGAGAAAAACTGTTCCTTCCCTCTATCCACAAAGAGTAGTTCCCAAACTCGTTACGATTGATCAAGAACGAACAAAAATTGAAGCAGGGACGGATCACAACTCACATTAACCCCATAAAAACTACTCTTTCATTTTAACGCATTACTTAATTCATAAAAGAACAGGAATAAACTATCGATTTAGTTCACATTACCAGAAAATACCGCAAACTTCATCATAAACTGTGTAAGCATGTAAACATTTTTTCAGCATAATTGAATACAGGGTTTTATTTGATTTTAGTCTTAAACGTTTCATAAAGTATCTCAAATTCAAACCCACTGATGTCTCTATTATTATTTCATGTTCTAACTTTTGGCCTCTAGTTTTCGAAATACTTCCTACGGCCATATTTGAACATCGCCGGCATCGATCGCATGAGGCGTGGGCGAAATACGAAAACAACATAAATAAAACCATTCAACCATTCTTCATGCATAACCAAATAAATGCGGATGGGCTAGAAAGTTCGTTACTCTAATTATAGAAAGCAAGCCTGACAAAAGGGAAAAAAAGGAAAAGTTTGTATCGTTGAATAATACCATTTTTTAACTTTGCTTTCTGTTCGTATTTTTCTCTGTTCCACAGTGTAAGACCATTGCATAATTTGCGCGTTCCAATGCCCTGAAGCTAAGCTAAGGTAAAAGCTAGTGAAATTATAATGTCCAATATACTATGGCTTTCGGCCGGAAGTCTTTTCCGTATTTCTCTCTGCGTGGTGACCTAAATTATTTGCAATGAATTGCAATAACGTAATCATAGATGAAAACCGAAATGCAAAACCGAAAAAGGTTGCCAAATAGGAAATTTATTAGCCTGTAAAACTACCCCCCGGAAAAATTATCTCAAACTTCATGAGAATATCAAATGTTGTTATGAGATTTCAAGTGATTTAAAAAATTAAAAAAAAAACAAACATCTCTAAAGTAATACCGTTTGTATATGCTATATGCTAATTAATCGCAATTTGGCTTTGTCTTTTTCTCTCTTAGCTTTTCTCTATGATAACGTCACCGCAATTTGGTTTGACCAGCAGGAGTTGTTAGATATATTATTTTGTCGCAGTGGAGTATAAATAATATGGTAGAGTCGACTATTTCTATCGAATTAATTTTGCATAGAGTGATTTCAATCCAGAGGTCATGAAACTCACATGAACGGATATTTCGTGGGTGGATCTCTGGTTCTTTCCGTTAAATGTTAACAGCCTGCGGCGAAAATAATGTCATGACGATGCTGAGTTCGCAGATCGGTACGCCAAATAAAACAGCGAGATGCATTGAAATCTCTTTTATATATATTTAAAATGTTTTTAAGAATTCGCGTTTTGAAGCGCAGCTTTACCCTATTGAAGATTAAAAGGGTGAGTTTTACGCCGTCTGGCTGGCTGATATTAGTCCGTAGTCCATTCTTCTCTAAGTTAAGGCGATGTCGCCAGGCTTCAAATTGACCGTCTCGGCGGAAAGAAAGAAACAAAATATTCTCCTCGGGATGTTGCAGTCTTTTGTTTCTCTCGCATCAGCACAATGGGTAACGTTATTCCGCTTTCAAGCTACAGATAATGAATTTGTTGAAAATTATAAATGTTTTTGGAAATAATTTCTGTCGGAAAGAAAAAACCAGAGGAAAGGAAACTGATTAGAATATGTATTGAATGCACTATTATCTTCTTCAAGTTGATAAGAGTAATTCCTTGCTTTGAACTTCGTGCAGCATCAAACTGAGGAGTGTTAGAAATTCAGAAAATTTCCCTTCTTTTGGTTAATATTCTGAGCTCGGACATATTTATGTACGTAAACAGTCGGTTTGCTTATGTTTACCGAAACCCAAAACTTCCTAGTTACTAATCCTTTTATCACTCTGACGAAGCATAGAACATCACGAAAAAACTTGCGTGCTATTCCAATACTAGAGAACTAACCCATGACGTTTTTGCCGAGATGCGGAAAGCAACCGAAGAAGAATCGAAATAATACCGGCATGCTTTGACGTCAATAAATCGACTGAAAGATCGTCATTCTAGCATAGAAAAAAAAGCTGGTCGCATACAAGTAAACAGGCTCTAATTGAAGATCGCCGGCAAAAACCCATTAGCCGGCAGGAACAACAAATTATAGCTCATAATTTGGTGGTCTGCAGAGCAGGCGTATTTTTGGCGAGCGAAGGCTGAGGAGAGAAAGAAATTTGTACTAAAGAGGCAATCAACGGTCAAAAATAAGGAGAGGGATGGGGGTGGGGGGAGTGAAGACTACTTTTCGCCCTTTCCCTTTCCCTGCCCCTTACCCCCACCGTCCACTCTCACTCCAAATCCAACATGGCTGGTCAGATAAGCGATCACGAGCTTAATGGTTCGCTCGCCCCAATAATAAGACACCTGCAGTGCAGGCTAATTTCTTGAGAGTTAACTTTGCATGTATTTTTCCTAACCAAAATGTCACCAAATCGCAATGGATCGATAATTTATACGGTAACTTTAGCATAAGATAAAGAGGGGGATCTTGATCCCGTTTCACGCACAAATTTAAGAAAAATTCACGCGTCACATGTACTTTAAAGAGCATTTCACACATCATAAATTTAAAAGGGGCAATTTTAAATCTATCTCCTTGTGAGCGGGATTCACGGGTCACGTATACTCCAGGAGCCAAATCACGCCCGACGCTGGGTCATGAATTCACGAGCCACGCTCGTTTTTCTTTAGTCTCTTAACCTTAATCACGCGTCACGTTTAAACCCTTTCTCACCCTTCCCCTGGGGGCAAAGCAGATAAACTGATATTACAGCCATTGCGTGACGTTCAACGAGGAACTGAGGAATTCGAGCAGAGGCCTTTTTGATTCAGTTAAACGATGGCGGATCGTTCTCCTTTCCTTCGAAGGAAGAAAAATTCAAAGTTGCCGGGCTATTCAACATTTGATTCCAGAATTTCTAAAGACAGCGGAATCTCGAGCAACATAGAGGAAACAACGTCAACAAAACGTGGCTTAAAATCAAGCACAGTTGTCGAAGACGCGAGTGACAGGGTTTCAATTTCTTGGGAAAACATTCAAGTGTTTGTTGAGAATCCCAGACCGTCCATTATAAAGAGACTCTGTTCGTTTGGGAAAAGTGAAAACGAAGTAGTTAAAAGCAAGCAAATCTTGTTCAACGGTAGGTTATGAAATTAATTTCAGTTTTCGGTGTTGAATCCACTCAAGGTCGTACCACCGCTCGTAGTCTGGCTTCCTGTTTTTCGTATCATACCCTACTGATCGGGAACGGAAAGAAAGCCCTCTGGGAGCCATGATTACCTTGATGGTGTAAGAACAGAGAACTCGCATAGGCTTCGAATGGACACTTAATCGTTATATTTCGCAATTTTTCTGTTATAAACATTGCATGTTCTGTACCTCGATCTATGATTCGATTTACTCGCAGCGTGACATTAATACGTCATTGGAAATAGGACCTATTCCGCAAATAGTACAACAATACATGGCCGTCGAAAACAACACTGTCGAGTTTAGCTTCAGGCCTTCCGCAATTTACAGATATCACGCTCCTTCCCAAACCCCTACACGTCTTATATCTTCATTTTTTACCATTGCTGATCTAAATCATCCCAAAGTTAGCTTCAGTAAGTTGAATTGTTAAATTGGGATTGCAACAATTAAGGTTTTCGAGTGTTCCCAAGCTTAAGGAAGAGGTAGAAACGAAAAATAACCTCTTAATTGTCCAATTTTCTCGTTGTAACTCCAAACTTTGGTTTCGTCCCTAGTTAGCGGAAACGTTGAAGCTGGTACCTTGCTGGCTGTTATGGGTGCGAGGTAAGATATAGCCTACGAAAGAGTGGTCACTTTTTGCGTCTTTTAAGCCAGCAAAGACAAGCGGCGGGTGGAGCGTGAAGAAAATAATATTTTTGGCCCTTTCCATTGTTGTCACCCCTCACCTTGCGCCCGCCTGTGTCCGTCTGAAAAGCATTAAAGATAAAAAAAGGCTCTCTGATTCCTCCACCTTTTTCGTTCAGCTAGGTCGCCTTTTTGCTGATCTGAGCTCCTGGATCAGCTTTCATCTTACAGAATGTCTCTTTATTTTCCTGCAGCGGTGCTGGTAAAACCACTCTAATGAATGTGCTGGCCCACCGCAACATCTATCAGATGGAAGTAAGGGGGACTGTGGAGATAAATAATCGTCCCATTGGACCAGAGATCTCTTCTATGTCTGCTTACATTCAGCAAGAAGATCTCTTTGTCGGGACTCTCACTGTTAGGGAACATCTCACGTTTCAGGTGAATATAGTGAATACGTCGTAGCAAGTTATTGTTGTTGAGTTAAGGGGGAGAGGTTAAAGAAAAGCAGAAGAGGGGGGA